TCTCCTGGGGGGACGACGTGCACACAGATTGACCAGGCCTCCCCAAAGCCAGGGGTCCCTCTGAGTGCCCACTCGGCACACACACCCGATGTGCTCCCTGGACAGCCAAGGGAGCCAGCTCTCCAGCGAGTCAACGCAAAGAGCCACACGGGCTGAGAAGGGAAGGCCCTGCAGCCTGGCAGTGGGATGTGCATGAGACGGAGGCTCGGTAGCTGTGCCCTTCTCATGGGCAGAACTGAGCCTGGGGGCCGTGTGACTCCCACCCCAACTCAGAAAGCCACGACCACGCTCACAGCATCCCTGTCGGCACGTAGTCCACTCTGCCCACTCACACACTCCCCTCCTTCTGGCCCAGGCAGGTGCTGGGGGTGCTTCTGAGCAGATCCCTGCCTGGCGGAGACGTGCGAGAAGGCGGCCTGCGGCCAGGCGGGCGGCAGGGACTCCAGGCTGCCCCGGCACAGCACACAGCCCCGCCGCGTGGTCGGAGGGCGCCGACTCAGAGGTCAGGGCTGTGCTGCACCAGGAAGACGGTCTCATGAGAAGGTGTGAAGCTCCAGCAGCCGACTGCTCTCACCTCCTGTTTTTTGCCTTTCAGCTGAGGGCTGAGTGTGAGGTTAAAGCTACGAGACGTCAGAACAGCCTGGGAGATCTGCTAAACCTGGGGCTCCGCCCACCCCCCACCCACCGGGCCTCCTGCGCGGCTGTGGGTGGTGACGGCGGGGTGACCGCAGCAGGACCAGGCATCACGGTGCAGCCAGTGCGCTCCGGCCCACGGGCCCAGCTCTGGACCTTCCACCACGCCAGCAGCACCGTTCCGCCAGGCCAGGCCTAACACTGTGAGGCCCAGCACACCCGAAGACTGGCTCTAACAAGTTTAAGAACAAGACATCAAAGCATCGCTGTTACCAGCATGTATTGCAAAAAAGATCGCACAGACTAACCCAGTAACTGTTGCAGAACTTGGCGATGATTCAAGACTGGTTAAAAAAGATGGACTGTATTTTGTAATTCATCTTTAAGGACTACAGAATAAGATTTGAAATCTACACTCTGGTAGTAAGCAGGCGACTCAGGGCCAATATATCTCTCATCTTAAAATAAATTATTATTCTGCATGTTACTAAACTATGGAGGGTTAAAAAAAAGTTAATTCTAACTTGGACCCAAACTGTTATCAAAAACCACTGCCACTGGCCATGGGAAGCTTCTGGATGGGAAATTCTGAACAGAGATAGTCTGGGGCCTCTGCCGTCGCCACGACAAACAGAGTAGGTCCCCCTGAGAACGAGGCTGATACGCGGGGAGCAACATCAGGACGAGAAGGACACTGCCGCGTGGGGAGTTCGGCCGTGGTTTCCCACAGACGCTCATGTTCTCCCTCCGAGCCCTGCCCTCTGCAAAGGCTCCCAGGAGCCCCGTTTCCTTCTCTTAGGACAGAGGGCTCAGGCCACAGCCTCCCCTCGTGGCTGGGGCCTTACAGCCAGCGGAGACAGGAGCGCGAGCCTCAGACCCTGCCAGAGTTCCCAGTTTTACGGGTGGAATGGTTCTCACCGTTCCGTTCCTGACACTGGGAAGTCAGAGGCAACCGAACGTGAGGCCCAAACCTCTGAAATAAAACTTAAGGAACTGAGAAACCTTATGTAGAAAAAGAAAAAGGGTTTCCCGCAGGCGGGTGGGATGGCCGTCTCCCCAGCGCTACGTGGCAGTGACAGCATTGTCCGTTAAAGGCTCTGCGGGGGCCCAGGGCCGGGGGGACTGCGGCTGGCCCCGGGCCGCCCTGCTGGGGAGGCCGCCTCCACCAGCCACGGCCCTCCTCCTCCTCCTCCTCGGCCAGCGGGGCCTGCAGGGACCAGGAGACACGGACACAGACACCCTGACCCGCTGGCCACTTCGGGGAGCTGAGGCCCCCTGGCCCCGCGCGCAGGCACTCGTGCCCCGTCTTCGTTTCGGGGCATTTTCAACGAAGAGAAGAAAGCAGTACCGGGCGGGGGCTTGTCCTGGACACCCGGGAACAGCCAGGAGAAGGTGCGGGCTCCAGGACAGGGCTGCTTGTGGGGACAGAGCCAGGGTCGCGGACCAGGGCAGCCCTTGGACAGCCTGCCTTCCTGGGACCCACATCCTGCAATTTCCCTTTCCCCCAGGCTGTGGGTTCCCGGGGGATGCAAACAGCTGCAACCCCAGAGTCGGGGGGCGGGCTGAGTCTTCAGCCTACTTGCAGCCATGCCTGGGGGAATCTCCACAATTCTGGGCCAAGTGGGGCCAGGGAGGTCACCCCGGCAGCAGACAACTGGACCGGTATCAGGGCTTATGCTGTGGCCTTCGGGGCCCCAGCCCACCTGAGGCATCACGGACAGCTGCTCCTCTGCAGCCCCGCCCCACCCGGGGTGGGGGCTGCGGCTGGCTCCCGCACGCCTCTTGCTTCCTGGCACCTGCTATCACAGGACGAGGGACTGTGGCGGGAGCGACGCAGGGGACGAGGTAACTGGCCGGTGGGGTTAACACGCCAACAGTGGGGCAGGAGCCACCTCCGGCCTCCGGACCTGTCTGTGCACTAACACGGGGACCCAGTGCATTTGTCACCAGCAGTCAGGGGCAAACAGCACTTAACCTGTTCCCCTAGAAACTGGGTGAGTTTTCCAAAAGGAGCCTGATGTGACCTTCCCACAGGCCGCCCTCGGCTGTACAGCGGCCTCTGTCCTGTTGCCCAGCAGGTCCCTGGAAATGCTGGGAGTCACAAGGCAGTCCCCGGACACGCGTGAGATCTGCGGATTTTGGGGGTCCAGGGAAGGTCCCCGCCAAAGTGGCTGTGCAGGGCCTGCGCCTGAGCTGCAGGAGCCTGTCCACGCCACGGACAAAAGTGGAGTATCTGAACCCCCGGGGGCCTGCCCTGTGGAGAGGTAAGAGGCAAAAAGTTGTGGACTAGGAACACAGGACAGGCCAGACCCAGAAGACATACATCCGGCATCACCCTTCTGGACAGGAACGGGTGACCTCCGACTCGCTCTCAGAGAGGCAGACGCGGGCGTCCCCGGACCCCACACTCAGGACGGGGACCTACCACGCACCCCAAGCCGTCCCAGAGCCCGGGGAGGACACCCCTGAGACGTGGACATGGAGCTGGTTTTCCCGGGGGGCCTGGGGGCCTTGGGAGCGGGGAGCTGGGGGTCCCAAACTACAAACACCTGTGATCACTTAGTTACTCTTGAAAAGCACAACCGGCACATTTTCACAATTAAGACCCGTGGATGCTGGACACTCACGAAAGAAAAAATATCAAGTTTCGGTCACAGCTCTAAGGCAGACGTTACACGTTTCACAAGGACGAAAACGGGGACACCTAACACTGCGTCACAAGAGGCGGGGACTCGCGGCCCTCACAGCACCGTGGCCTGGACAACGATCTCGGGGTTCTCGATGTCCTGCTTGCTCTGGACCATCCTCAGCTCCAGCTGGGCCGGGCTGGGCTTCAGCCCTTCCCCAGACTTGGCTACAGAACAAACAGAGGGGGCAGAGCCACCAGTTACCCCAAGTGTCTCCCCTCCTCCCCCCGCCTCGGCCTGAGCCCCCGACCAGCCGGGGGGCCCCAGCTCAGAGAGAGCTGCACGACACTGGCCCTGCCCCAGCCCTGAAGGCCAAGGCCAGGGAGGTGCCAGGAGCCACGGACACCCGTTCACAGCGGCAGAAAGCGGTCGCTCGAGTCCAGCGGGCCCCGTGCCCCTCCCACCCCCAGCCGAGGCGCCACACGTAGCACTCGCCAATGCGACCAGCTGTGGGGAAGGCAGAGTGGTACCTTTCGCACATTTGATGGTCCGCTGCAGAACGTGGTGCATGGCCGACACGGTCTTCTCACAGGCCGCCTGCAGGGAGGGGGACAGCTGAGCCCCCGCTCAGTCGGGCCCTCCGCACCCCCACGCTGCCCACAGCGGCCCGGACGGGACTGTCAGTTAACACAGGCACTGGCTCCAAGATCACCAGTGAGGCCTCATCTGGGCACCAGCTAGCCATGGGGCAGGTCACCCTCAGCCCTTGAGGGAGGCAGGAGGAGGCAGAACCGGCGAGGAGACCAAGCATTTAGGCTTCGGGTCACAGAACTCGGCCCTGAGCCTTGCAGGCGACGGGGAGGGCCCCATCCCAGCCTGCATGTCACAACAGACACCTGCCCCCACGGGAAGGAGGTCCAGGAATGAGGCCGTGACTTCTGCACTTGGCCGGACCACATGCAGGAAAGGCCTCACGCCCCAGTTTACCAAACCAGCCTAACCGCCCGCCCACCCAGCAGGGCCTGAGCAGGACAGCTGTGTCTCCACACGAGTGGGTCGGGGACACTTACCCCTCAAGCGAGGGGCACGGACGGGGACAGCTGACCTCAGAGCCCGTCCCCTACCCTCCATCGAGTCACCGCAGCGATCACACTGCAGGACGAGCTCTCACTAGATTTCTCCCCTGGACGACGCTTCTGGGTTCAGCTGCGGCCCAGCAGAAGCCCTCACGTTTCACCTGGCTCAGCCCCCCGCCGCGGGCCGGGCTGGCTGAGTCCACGCTCCACGCACGCTCTCCCGTTTACCCCCGAAGCGCCCTGCTGACCTTGAGGCTGTTGGGGTGCTTGTGCGTCCAGGCCAAGAGCATGGCGGCGAAGAGGTCCCCGGTGCCCACGAAGACTGCGTCCACCCTGCGCATCTCCATGCTGATGCGCTGCGTCACCACGGAGCCGTCGGGGGTCCCTGGGGAGGGAGGGGGGCAGCTGGGACCTCGGACCCTCGGCCAGCAGAGGCCCACAGCCTGGGAACCAGCCTGCCCTCCTCCCACTCCTCTCAGCACCACGGCAGGGGGCTCGGTCTCCCCGTGTCACCCGCGTCCCTCAGTGACCACCTGTCCCAAGTGAAAGAATGAGAGACTGGGGTCCCAGGAGCTGCTCAGTGAGGGGCCTGTGGGGGGGATGCAGAGCCCGAGGGGCCGGCACAAGCACCGTGACATGGAGGGAGCCTGACGCCTTGGGGGCAGCGGTGGGAGGGAGCCTAGAGCTGCAGGGACGGCGAACTCACTGAAGTCGGGGCGCCTGTGTGAGTATGAGCGCAGTGTGCACATATGCGCGTCCGTGAGTGAGCGTGCAAGTGTGAGCGTGCGAGTGCCCTCCCACACCAGCCCGAAGGGAGCCCTGAAAGCCCCATCAGGACCAGCTCTGAGCGGGGGAGGCCTGTGGACAACGGTTCCCAGGACCCGGGCTGCAGCTGGGCTGGCCCACGTGAGCCCCAGGAACGTAGGAAGGGACGTTACCCCTGTGTCACCAGTGCGGTCACAGACGTGACTGCTGCGTGGTGACTGTGGGGGAGCCATCAGCACCCTGGGCTCACTGCACCCCGGTTCACAGAAACCTCTCCTGATTCTGTTCTCAGCCTGATCTTTCTCGGGGGTGATGGGAGTTCTGGAAATTGGCTGCCCGCTGAGTCGGTACAACTTCCTATTCGACCCCAAAGCTCGGAAGCCTCAAGGGACACATGGCAGGAAGGCAGAAGGTGGCCCAGCACTGGGCAGGGGGACTTACGCGTCCTCTGGCTCCCCAGTGCGATCAGGTAGTCTCTGCCCCTCGGGGAGGGTAGGTCGGAGCTGGTGATGACCACCGTGTCGGGGCCCATCGAGTGCAGCATGTCCATCACCTGCCGGGGCACAGGGGGCACGTCAGCACGCCTCGACACCTGCACCTGGCAGCCCTGGTCCCCACTGCGCCTCCCCTCCCATCAGAGTCTTACAGGGTCTGGCTGGATGGCGCGGAGCCAACAGAGGCCAAGATCATGGGAGCCACACCCTGGTCCCAGCCCGCCCTGACCAGCCCCTGCCCATCCGTGACAGCTTAACCAGGTTGCAGCCACCGCTGCCCATTCCCTCCAGCTTGAGGTCCAAGCTTGCATGCCCGCTGGCCCCACCCTGCGCCCAGCTCCAGAGGAAGGAGCCAACCCGGCCCCCATCCTCCCTCATCTGGGCTCCAGGGCGGCAGGAGCCACTCGCGGCAGCCGCCAAGCAGCTGGGCTTCCACGCCCCGTCCTCGCTGGGAAGCGGGCGTCAGAGCTGAGCGCGGCTGTGGACGACGTGTCCCCTGCCAGGCACTCACACACGCGCACACACCACATGCACACGCACCCAGAGACCCCTCATGTGAACACACATACGTGTGTGCTCTCCCAAAGCCCACCCGCCTATCCACATGGGCACACTCACCCCACATGTGCACAGCACACATCCCCTCACAAAACGCACGTACACACCTGCACACGCCGCACCCCACACGCAGTGTCTGCACACACACACGAACACCACACACACACGCGTGCCCACCAGGCAGGAGACCCTCCGGCCCATTCAGGGGGCCTCCCTCCTCTCATCTCTGTCCCCTAAAAGGAGATATTGGAGTCTGAGGCCCCAGCTCCTCAGTGTTTTCTCTTTTCGTGTTGGATGTAGGGTCGGTGCAGACCGTCCAGGTAAGACAAGGTCACCAGGTGGACCCTCGTCCAACCTGACAGGCGTCCTTATGAGAGGAGATCAGGACACACACACACACAGAGACAATGCCCTGAGTGGCTCTGCCTCGGCCGCCCGGGGAAGTTCCGACAGGGACCGCTGTCACAAGCAGGGCAGACGGTGGCTGAACCCAGACCCAGCGGCAGTGAGTGGCGGACGGCCAACCAAGCGACCGAGATGGAGTTTACGACGCGGCCCCCAGGCCCTGTGGGGGCTGTGGCTGCCCCCTCCCACCGTGTCCCCTTACCGCTAAGGCTTCTTCCTGGCTGTGGATCTTTCTGCCACTCAGCAACCTGGAAGACAGGCAGGCAGGTGAGCCATCACTCTTCCGGGGCCTCCTGTCAGACCCCAACCCAAGGCTACGGCACCCCGGGCACCCCGTTCTGACCCGCAGGGACCGGACGCAGCACCTGCCGGGCATCACGGACCAGGCGGCCGCAACGGCATCTGGGGACCACGTCTGGGGCTAGTCGAGCAAAATTCAGTTTTAAAGGGGACCCAGACGTCATGAGGTGTGGTGAAGTTCCAGACCGTAGTTACTGTTTACACGGAACATCTACGCGGCACGACAGGGGAGGACATCACACACGGCCACAGCACGCAGTGCCAGTGAGGGTGGCCAGCGTCCACGCACAGCCAAAGAGCTGCAAACAGTCGGTGCGTCACATTCGCACGTGCCACCGTCAGCTCAGGGTCCTCCGGTGAGCCGCCAGCCCCGGGGATTGATGGCCCCTTGTCGGGGAACCCCGGGCCCCAAGAGTCCAGGTCCCCAACTTTAAAGAGACAGGACCCGGCTGATGGTCCAACAGAGCTGAACGGGATGGAGACAAGCCCACTGCAGCCTCCGCCATGAGCCACGGCGCCGGGAGCCGCTTCCTACCCCCTTCCCAACTCCTCAGGTGGGCCCTGCATCCAAGAAAGGCCCCCTGAAACTCAATACTGGGCAGCGAGGTGGGGGCATGTGGGTTTCAGAGCTCGGGGCGGCATGGACGCTCTGCCCCCAGCCTGTGTCAGCCACGGTTCAAACCACTTACTCAGCCTCAAACTGGTTCGGGGTGATGATGTCTGCCACGGGCACGACCCGCTCTCTGTAAACGGGGAGGAGGTCCTCCGGGACGTACTGACGGAGAAGGACGCAAGCAGGTGAGAGGTGGGCCAGGCCGGGACGGCCTGCGCTGCGGGAACCCCAAGGCTCCAAGGGGTCCGGAGGCAGGGTTGGGCCAAGCCCTTCCATACCACCCCTCCAAGGCGTCCGTGCGGCCTCAGGTCCCCCCCGCGGACTCCGCCCTCTCCAGGGGTGACACCACCCACCGGACCCCACACTGGGGCCGGGAAGCCCAGGCCCCCGGCTGTTGGTGTGCAGAATGCAGGTGAGGTATGATTTTTACGTTTTTAAAGGGTTCGGGGGTAAAGTCAAAAGCGAAATAATATTTTGTGGCACATGGAAATTACAGGAAATTCAAAGTTCAGTGTCCAATCGTGGAATTTATTTAGAAAACAGCTGTCTTCACTCGTTTGGAAACCAGTTGCTCTAACGTACCCCCGCCCGGGCCCCGCACAGAAACCTCTTCTGTGCATCCAGGCCTCCCCTTCCCAGCGAGGACGTGCGCCCGCCCACACCCCAGGCCCCGAGCACTGACCATTGAGCCTTCTCCGTCCCACTTGTCCCCCATCACCGGGTCGCACACTGTGGACACAAAGGGCATCTGATCAGGAAAGCTGCAGCTGGTGAGACCGGTCTTTCTTGTCCATTCTGTTGTTAAATTCCAAGTACCCACCACCGACCCTCATTTATCTCACCTGGCACTTCACACTCTGCTGCCGGGACCCCCGGCTCAGGGTCGGGGGTCAGACACGCCACCACGGTGCCGGACACTGATCACAGCGCCAGTAACCTGCTCCTGCGACCCGCTCCCCAGAGGCCCAGCGGCCACAAAGCTCTTGTGCTGGGGATGGGGGTGCAGGGCACGTGAAGGTGGGGCGCCCGAAAGGAAACTGAGATGCCCATCGCGGGGCCCCACGCCTACCGTACACGAGCCGGGGGTTCTGCTGCTTCAGCTCCCGCACGATGTCTACCACCATGGCCAGGAAGGACTTGTCCCTCGTGTAACCTTTGGGAGGGACGGAGGACTCAGTCACCCGACCATGGCAAGGGAGGCACAGCGCCATCACACCCCTCTGCCAGGAGAACAGCGGGCCGGGGCCGGGCCCGGCCCGCGGCCGGGTGAGGGCAAGCGTCCCCGACAGCCACAGTACTCAGGGGACACCAGGCGACTCCCGAAAGGAACGTTTTACACGAAAGAACGAAGCCAAGGGTGTACAGGGACCGTCTTCCTCCCTCCTTCCCACTTTCGAGAATGAGCACGTACAGAAACACAACCCTGAAGTCACCCTAGGGCCCCACTGAGAGCCCGGTGGCCCGCACACGCCCTCCCAGGGAGGAGCCGGTCGGGATGCTCTGCCCCACCCCCACCCAGGCTGCAGCGAGGCGGCCGGGCCCCACCCTCGGCAC